CACGTGTTAAACAAGTAAGTGACTTAATTTGTTAAGTCATTGAAATAATTAAATTAATTAGATTAGTTCAATTATCCAATTAAAATTATGGAACTTTAGTTAGGGTCCCATATGACTTGGAAATTTATAGAAATGGACAATATAAACTTAGACACAAGCGTGACACATTATGAGATAAATGTGGTTAACCAAGATAGCCCAAAAAGGCCCTCTACTTGAACACCATTCTTGGGTTGAAGATTCGCTCCAAGGGTATGTCTTCTCAATCCTTCTCTCAATAGTTGTTGTAGAGAGTCATTGGTGCAAAATTTTCATAAGCCTAGAAAGATTGGGACCTAGGAGGAGACTTGTATGAATCTTTAGCTATTTATTGCTTCCGCTTTCATTTTAATTCCTTATTAGATATGTCATGCTAGATGATTTGTTCTCTCATAGTTTCTTGGGATTTTAGAAATCCCTACACCCTACTTTCCCTTCAGGCATGTATGCTCGGTATTGACTTGGATGCTTGGTATTAGCATGTATGCCTCGTACTGGCACCTATGCTTGGGATTGTCATGTATGCTCCGTATTGGGTTTTGGGAGTTTGGTATGAGTTCCCGCAGCTTGATACGGATTCGACGAGGTTATGGGTCCGGCATCTTCCGGCACCTTGCTATGGGTTATAGTAGCTCGACTTTGGGCTTGATTGTTAGAGTGTTGGTTAAGGTGGCATGGTTTAATATAGCTTTTGGGCTATTTAGCACGATGGCTATGCTTGAGTGTTTGGGGTTTTAGCTATGGAGGTTATAGAAGTTGTGAGTGGTGTGGGGTTGAAGTCTAGAAAATATATATTTTAGCATGTTTATTGGCATGATCTAGTTTTAGGACTAGTTGGGAAAGAGTGAAGGTTATTTGTGACAAAAACCTCAGTGGAGATTACGTGCTGACGTGATTGGTAGACGCTAGAAGGATGTTTGAAACCTGGCTTGGAATAGGTGGTGAAAGTGTTTTGCTGGAGTAGGTATTGGAAGTGGTTTGCTTGATGCGGGATAGGTGCTGGAATTGAAAATCTGAGGAGATTTTGGGCATTGCAGTGGTGGTTTTAGTAATAAGGGATCTTTAAGCTTGTTTTGGGTTTTGGGTTTTGTCATTGGTGAGATGATGGATGTAAATAATTCATTTCTCAGCCCCTAAGTGCATCCTAATCATTAGGAAAGGATTTGATTTGCATGAGCTCGTAGCATGACCTTCTTGGTATTTAATTGAATCATTGCATGGCATGATGAACTTGGGGTATCCCTTTGCTGCAATGGTGACCATTTGGTATGATAACGCATGGCTTCTTCCTGCTTTCGGCAATTAGAACTGCCTGGTCTAAGGTTGCCATTTTTATGACGATTGTATTGCTTTCTTGAGATGATTGTATCAAGTGCAATGCTTGAGTTGCATGGTTTTGGAGATGGAGAGTTTCTTCTTGGCTTGGCATGTTATAAAGAGTTCTTTCTTGCTTGTCCTGGATATCTTTTGAGCCTGCAGTTTGCTTGTGAGGTTTTTGCTTCTCTGGGCACGATTTCTTTTACATCTCAGTCTCTTCCAACGCCTGATTTTTGTTGAAGCTTGAGCATCAGCATCTACGGAATCCTCTTGCCATGGCTAAATTGAGTATTGGTATTTATGCACCTCTTGTATGGTGATGGCATGTCGGTTTGGAAATTTCGCTTGGCATGTTGTATCCTCGTTTCTTTTTTTTGTTTTTTTTGTTTTGTTTTTGTTTTTGTTTTTTTGCTTACTTGCTTCTTGTGAATGCCTATAATGAAATATTATGGTCAATATATGATATTGGTAGACAAAGTTATATGGTGAATTCGTTAAAATAATAACCAAAGCATGCGAATGAGCATGCTAGGCATAGTAGAGCATAGTTGCTAAATTGCGATAATGTCATGCAAGTAGTAAGAGGAGAAATTCTCATCTTGTATCAAGAGGTGATGGCCCATCGGTTTGGCCATTTTGCCTCTGATGTTGTCTATTTGATATTTGCTTGACTAATATGCTTGGCCTGTAAAGAAAGTCCTTGGCGTGGTTTAGCTTGACTGATATGTTTTGCATGCATATCTGGGTTGATCCACAAACTTTGTATTGAAGGAGCTTGACAGAGCATAAGAGAGTAGTTTCCTGGAGATGGAATTCTCCTATGTTGGTTTCAGCTTGCTTATGTAGACATAGGACCGAGGAACAGGTTGTTTTGATGTTCGGAGGCTTGGGTCGTTTGCATTTGACTGCTACAATTCAATGTTCTTTTGTTAGTGTGCATGGAGGTGCCATATGGTAGTCCCTCAGTAAGCATGGTTGGTGACCGTGTGAGTGCCTTTGGAGGTAGCTGCACCTCATTAGCTTGGATGAATACTTTGCTTTTTGAATGAGACGGTGCCAAAATGTTTCCAAGGCATCCGTGGAAGAGTCCAAGGCTAAAAATAAGAGCCATGGATGAGAATTATGATTTTTGAGGACGAATGCCAAGGTGTTCCAAGGCATCCATAGAAAGTTTCTAAGGTCAAACCCGGGACGGATGAAGATTTTTCTTTTTAAATGAGGGGTTGCCAAAAAGTTTCCAAGGCACCCGTGGAAGTGTCCAAGGCTAAAAATAAGAGCCTGGATGAGAATAATGATTTTTTTTTTTAAGAAGGATGCCAAGGTGTTCCTGCCAAGGTATCCATGAAAAGTGTCCATCACCAAAACTGCCTCTGGCCGTTCTTTTGAACTGGATACTAATGAATCCAGGATTTCTTCACTGTTGGTTAACTCTTAATATACCTTTTACGAGCCAAATTAATTCAATTAATCTGAGTTTTTGGCTTATTCACCATTGTTGGTAACTAATTTCCAGAAAATCAAATAACTGTGTAATTGAATTAATTTATCCCACATGTTTTAAATAGTATGGGCTATTCACCATTTTTAGTCAACAAAGCCCATATTAATTCATGTAAAAGCCCGATTGTCAATTGGGCTGGCGCGTAGAATTTAGACCCAAACACTAACTTTATGTTTGAATGATTTTTACCAATACTTGTTTGTCCTAACAAAATTTCTGTCAATAGTTAACATCACTTTCAAGATGGTTGTCAATACTCCTCCTTAATGATGTTTTTTTACATCTAAACAATGAAACATTAAAGGTGACCCACCATCAACTACAATTCATTAGGGAAATATTAATTTTCTCAAATTTATTTGTATTCTTTGCTACCACAGGTGGGAAGAGGGTTTTTTTTAAATTATAAAAGGGGATAGAATTTTATTAGATCAATAAGAATAAAGAGTACAAAGGACACATACTGTAAAGGAAGTCAAACCAATAACAATATGAGAGACATGGGTGAAACTTTCCAACCAGAGTCAACCGAAAAGCTGAAAAGATCTGGAGAGAATCACTCTCGAAAATAACTTTTAATAACCCCTTTCAATCGCCATAATTTCCCTGAATCTAGTCCAATGACATCAATGACAAAACTGGCCTATAACCGGCATGACTCTACTAAAGAGACTAAACATGTAACAAACTCAACTAAGTTTCTAGACTATATTGAACAAACTAAACCAAATAAAAGCTAAAACAATGCCAGCAAAAGAAAAATCAATCGTTGGTAATCTTCATTCGGGACATGACATATAGAGCGTCATTAATTACTTGAGGGCCTTAATGCATCAACGAGCAGTTGATCTACCATGACCAAGCCACATCACCTCAAAGAGTAGTCGCACAAGATGTGGCACAATTAAAGCCAGCCTAGATATGAGACAATAGATGTGCCAAAAGAAGAGTAGATCAATATAGGTCCACCAAAAGTAAAAGAACACAAAAGATGCAATGGGATCCGAGGGAAAACCCCAATATGTTACACATGAATTACTTATTATACACATAACATAATATATATGTGAAACTTAACTATTTATATTTTTGCACTTTGCATTTGTTAAGCTTATTGTTGATGCCAAGAAATTTTAACTGATTTTCTCAAGGATCGCAGGGCACAACTTGAATAGGTACACTTTCAATTATGTTGTTGAACATATATTCATTTTGATAATATATAGTTTTTGGTTGCATTTAATATATATTTGTTTTATGATAAAGTTTATTGAAAATTAGTTAATGGAACTAATTAGCGTGATTATATGATTAATGTGTACTTTTATTTATAGAAAAACTATAGAAACTGTAAATTTTAAAATAAAAGTAAAAAATTCATTAGATTTTAAGCTAAAAAGTTTAGCTAGCCCACCCACCAAAAAATTCATGGTTTCGCCCTTAGTGTCAAAGTATATAATACGTCTAGATGACAAGGAATGAGCTTTGTGGTCATATTATCAATATTAAACTTCAAGAACTGTAAATGCCACACACTCACGTAGAAGCAAGATATAAACATAATTTACATGGAATTTGTAATAGGCATATCAAGATGCTTAGAGTCTCAATTAAATAATGTGATCAATAAAAAAAATAGAAAAACTTCATGCATCAACACACAAGATTGATGGCCCCTAGGTTGGAAATATTGCTTGATGGATGCTCCTATTCCTGCAAACTTGAAAGTTTACTTCCATTCGAAAATTTTCAAAAGTTGATGTTGGTGGATGCGTGTGTGCTTTAATTTGAACTTTTAGGCTGAGGTGTGTAACCACATTGCAATTAGTCTTGTGTTTGGATGAGACACTTTGAAGTACCCAAGGACTTCAAAGTGTTGAGACTTGGAGTGATAGGAATTGAACTGCCAAACAAACTGAACAATATGCTGACTCGAGATTAGGTTTCATGACTAACAAGATTGATTTTGATATTGATAATCTAGTTACTCAACTACTCAACCCCACATTAATTATGGAAAACCAACCAATTACAACACTCCATTTCTTAGTATATCCTTTTGTGCTTGTGGAGTACAGAAAATGGGTACACAGACTCCTTTTTTCCGGGAGCATCTTCTAGGAGTTCATGCAACTATGATACTTCAGCCCTTCCTTGGCTTCAACCTGGCACATAAACATTGTCTGGAATCAATATATTTCCAAATAAAAATATAGGAAGCTAAGAGATGGAAGGAAACGCAATGAAGATTACTTGTTCTGAGTAGGATTCGGAATGCTAGGAGGTATTCTTCGAAGGCTGTCGAATACTGGCTCGGTGGTGACTGGCTTTTCCTTGTCTGAGTGTCTATGTAGGAGAGTTTGAGAGGATGAAGAAGTAGCTGAAGACAAAGAAGATGGTGGGTGAACTCTGGCTAAGGCTCTATTATTGGAAACTAAATGCATCAATAATATAGCAACAGTAATTTTAAGCAATGATTTGTAGCAGGATTTCATGGTTTTGCAGACTAAGAGGATGTCTTCTTACCAATGCTTGGTCCGATGATGAGTTAAGGTTATTTATAAGCTCATGATGCGAGAGAGAGAGAGAGAGAGAGAGAGAGGTTTTCCTTAACGACCTTTTTATGTGCTGCTCTTAACTTATATAAAATGGAGATTGGATGCAGGAGTGTCATGTGATGAATCTTTGACTATCATAGCTTCCAAGTTCCAAAGCTCAATCTCCCAAAGAAATTTGCCTATAGTTTTAGTTATAGAGAGCAGTCATGTGATCAGGCACGTGATAAAATTACAGACAATTGGTTGGCAAACTTTGGATTCTGCCTTCTGAGTTTTTTACAATTAAGATAATGACATACAGGGGTATGGTAAATGACTTACAGAAGCCTAAAATATTTGACACTGAACTTAAAATTAAGGGTTACATTACCAATGCAATGCCAATTTGCAGAGAAAGTTTGAAACTCAAGGCCCTCTTTATTTTTATAATCCTGCATTTAAACTACCATATGCTTCTCATCTCCACTAGAACCGACCTAAAATGTTTGATGCAGTTTAAACACATTGAGATGCTGTTTGAAGAATTAAAATATCAGGTGGCTTGTGAATCAAGCATTTTATATCATGAGCTCCATTCTCTTTGACCGAATTCAGGCCAAGAGAACTGGAATGTCTACAACAAATACACTCTTTGATAAATTATGAGAACAAAAACACCAATTCACACAATAATCTGTCACCTATGCATCTCTTAGAATCAACTTGTTAGGAAATCAGAACATCCAAAGCTGAGCATGTTCACTATGAGGACAGAATTCATAATGCATGCCGGAAAAGTTGGAATGTGTGACCACTTCGGGACCGAATGTATCACTTGTTGGAAAACTATTTACACCTCAATAATGCAAAGACCTCTACATCATGAAACCTACTTCATCTCATCTAATCAGCAAAACTGGGTATTTTGTCAACCTTTCAGCGGCTATGGTTAGCATTTTAGTACCTGACAGTACAAAAAAAGAGTCAGGGCAACGACCTTTGGCAGTTCACAAGAGTGACAGAAAATATTAGAGAGTTAAGAACATAAAAAGACAACGACCCTGTATGTTTTGACAGAGAAAACAAGGAGAAAACAAGGCCCTACTGAGCAAGTGTTCACATATGACAAAGATTGGTACAAGGCGGTCACCATTATGTATGTTTTGATCTTGACAAAATGACCCCAGTGTAAGCAGTAGCACATATCAACCAGTAAGTTTTGCAACTCTTTAGCATTGCAAAAACTCTGTAAATAAATAAAAACTACCAAATTTGGTCATAAACTTACATGTTTTTAAAGTATCGAGCAGTTGGTAAAAGCTCTTCAATTTCAATCTTCATATTAGAGCTAGGTGATCCTTTCTTCAATTCATTCTGATTGACAACAACATCCACAACAAATGTTCCACAAACTGGCCGGTGGTCAGAAATCGGGATTCTCCGCGTATGTAAGAAAGTTGTTTAATCCCACTTCCATGCCATAGTATTCGATCACACCTGCAATATCGAACTAGTCAAATCTTTTTGTTAAATGTAAATTGGGTTTCATAAGTACACTCTTGCAATCCACATACCAAGCTGGGGTTCTTCTTTTCTTTTTGGATGTTTTTATCTCTCCAAAATAAGTGTCTGAGTTATAAAAATATTTGTAAGTAGGTGCAAAGTAGATTTTTCCCTCTTTCCATCCTTTGAATACTCGCTCTGCTTCTCTTTCAATCTTGAGCTATAAATACAAGCAAAAAACTATTAGTGCACGATATGAGAGAATAGAATGTGTGGGTGACAAAGAAAGCAAAGTATATAACTCAAAAATGGCAGCCAAATGCCCTAGACTTCTCCAGCCCCAGAAATTGTTAATCCATCAAAGATGAGTTATAAATGGCACACCAAACAAAGTATTGAGGGAGTCAAAACTACGAAGTTTAGCTACATTTTGGATAAAATGTGAAATGAAATGCAGTACTCATTTCTAGTACCAAATGGCTCATTCATTGAATTGCTACTGAAACTGAAAATAATGCTCTTCAATCAAATGCTTTAAATATCAGACTAGATTGGGTAGTCACATTAACATAGGACGGCTAATATTTCTGAAACTTGTAGCCCAACTCCAACATGATTTTCTTATTATTTCATGTTAAATTCAATTACCTGGTCTTTGTTAAGAAGTGCATCCCAGTCATTGTTTTCCAAAAGCTTTCGGGTTTCGGAGTAGCTTAAAGCAATGCGGTAATTCAAGTCACCTAACCATATAACCATACTAGATCCATTTGCAAAGGAATTGGTTAGATAATCAACTTATATGTGAGAAAATGGTGATAGATTATAAAAATAATTTATGAAAGCAACGTTTAATTCTTCAATAATGGCATTCATATAGATGCTTACTCATGTCCTAGAATTTTATCCGGCATCCTGCTATGATTTGTTTTGCAAATCTTAGGAAACTGAGTGCTCTTGAGTATCTCTAACACATCCAAATTTCTCCTCAGCTCGTCTCCCTCTTTCTCACCAGATGCCAAGTGACTGCAGACAAAGCAAAAGCTTGTCTGATGGAATAAAAAACTCACAGAAATACAACCCTGCAACCAATGAAGAAAAACAGCTTAAGCTTACAATAAGAGGTAATATGATATGTTCAATCATGCACAACCGACATATGATAAACCTCTATGCTTATAGTTTTTCTGTAAAATACCTTGTTTCCAAGGCATCCCATGATTCCACGACTTATGCAAGAGATTCTTAAGTGGCTAACATATTGTATATGCTCTTTCCTCGCCCAAATGGTAACAAAAATTCCCACCATTTGCTTACTAGCTATAAGGCTGTACTTCAAATGGTTGCTAGTAGATGCCATAGAAATTTCCGATATATCAAAAACGTTTGATCCATCTTCATCCGGTTCAGAAGAAAGGTCGTCTTCATTTATATTTGGTTGTTGGCATCGAAAGCAAAAATCCTTACTATGTTTCCTTTCTAGTTCAAAAATGCAGTTGCAACTCTTCAATCGCCTTTTACTCTCTGTCCTAAAAGTCTTACTGACCTTTTTAAGGGAAGGCTTAGAGGAAAAAAGTGAACCACTGGCCTTGCTTCTTGAAGACCCGTCTAGTGATTTGTTCAATGATTGGTTGATTAAAGTAAGCCATTTTGCTGCAGGTTCATTATCTTCTAGAACTAGCACATTTCCAGCATTTAAAGGGACAATTTCCTGAAAACTGATGGTATAAAACAAAACAAAAAATTAATGAAATGACCAATTTAGTATATGCTACATAAGCACCTAAATAACATGGAAATATATTTTCTTTTTATAGCTTATACTAAAGTGATATGTCATAATGAAAAACTATACAGAGAGGACAAAGAGACTAGTATCTTTGCAACTTGTTTTTGTGTGTTTTCTTGACACACTATCATACTCTAAATGTTGTGATGGGCACTGTGACTCATATCACAGTAGTTATGTTTTAAAATCAATTACCTAAATATGCAATCTCATTTGAAATAATTGTCAACACTAGCATACTCTAGATATTGGGTGGATACTTTACGGGTGAGAGGAAAAAATGCAATGTAAAGGAGATATACATATCCTAAATGAAACTTTGCAAATGAAAAAGCAGTAATCAGATCCCGAAGAAAAACAAACGGATATCATCAATTTGAAACTGTACAAATCAGAAGGGAACAACAAAGTAATAGAGGAAAGACAACAAATAAAGAAACCATACCCCAAGACATATATGTCCGATTCATTGTCAACCTGAAGAAAATCGTCTAAATTTAGGCCATTATGAGGAGATTTCCCTCCTACATTCCATGTTGCTACAAACACTCTACAAAACCCAGACAAGAAATATCAAATGTTAAATCCTATATCTATTTATCAAGGGGATAGAAAGACAGAAACAATTGTTAATTCTAGAAGATATTGTGATTACCGAAAGGACTGAACATATTGACCAGCAGGCATCTGAGGCTCTGTGCTACTTATAGATTGAATGTCAACTGCTGGATTGGACTGTGGTTCTGAAAGAAGATACAAGCAACAAAAATCTCATGGTAAGATGTCAAATTCAAAAGAGTTCTAGGTTAAGCAAGAAAGAATGTTTCTTTACAGATTAAACAGGAACCTCATAAAACTCTGCCCCTAAGGAACCAGTTATCTTTAACTGATAGCAAAGACTTATATGAACATCGAAAGAAAAAGGGGATCTAATCCAAAATATTGGTTTTGAGGGAGATGGGGAGGAGAGGGACATGCTTTATGCTTGCTACCTTTCGTGCAGTAGCTTAAATTTCAAACATGAATATATTCTAATTTCAAATCTCCATGATAGCCCCTCTCCCTGTAACAATCAATATCTTTCTTACCAACAAAGATATTTGAGACCCATATGAGACTTATATGGTTGGCTCAACTCAACTAATCATCCCTGTCTTACCAAAAAAAGTTAAAGAATAACTAACCATTCCATTCAAAAAAGAAAAGCAACATCACATTCTTTAAAAAGCAAATGGAATTGTATTCTGCTATATCTGTAACCAAAAAGAAAGATCACATCATCTGCAATATGAGACCCCAATTTCAAGACATATCCTGTCAGATTTTTTAGGAGGCAAAGAGAGAGCACATTGTATGCTCCTGGATTTTCTTTGACAGAAAAAAAAATTATACATGATAAGTGATTGTATTGAAACTAGAGACAAATTCAATAGACTCACCAGGGAAATCAGATGAGCCACTTCCTTCTCTCTCCATCATGGTGAAAATCTTGTGGATAAAAGACTGAAACATAGGGTAGCAAAATTCCTTTGAATTAACCAAATCTGATATATAAAAATAAATAAAAAACTATTATCTTTGCCAAGAGATGTAGATTTTGAGAGGTAAATGATCCAATTTCTTCAACTACACAAAAGAAAAGAAGAAATTGGAAACAAAATGATATATAATCATAATGAAAAGACAGCAAAACAAGAAAAGGAACCTTCTTTTTCACGTCTTGATGTCCTACGGTCATTTTGAAACTGCTACTGTTTCATCAATTGGGTTCACAGACCTTCACAAACAGATACAGATGCCGCAATTAGATAGATCAAAACCCTTCAACCAGACAAGATTGCTCTCATTTGTTCTTAAAGATATAAAAACAGGAAATTTCATAAATTTGACAAGATATTAATAAAATATTATTATTCAACAAACGAAAGCAAAGAGGACAACGTGAGAATATTGATAAACTATTACGATTGAACGAACAAAATCCCATGAATAATCGAATTGCCTAAGCATCCAAAAGAGCACCAAACACAGCCACCAAAATGGAATGTGGTTTCAAATGACAGAATCATAAAATTACCAGAATTTGAAGAAGCTTTGACATTCATGGAGGAGGAGGAGATCTCTGAAATCTTATTATAAATAGTACGGCAACAACGACCCATGAAACAAGTTGACAGCCAACATGGGTTTTCTCGAGAAAGTCAACTGGACAAAGCAATTCCTATTCCTTGATAAAATATTGTGTGTTTGATTTTATTTAGTTTCCCCCCAAAAAAAAAAAAAAAAAAAAAAAAAAAAAAAAATGATGGAATTGAAAATTGAAGGACTTGACCTGCATATTCCATACGTTTTTGTGTGTCTGTGTTTCTGCAACGGATGGCCTCAAGTCCTCTACAGTGATGTTTCAAGAACTGCCCATGTTGATGTACAAACAGGGACAAGTGCAATAAATAACGTTGCTAGCAAAACTGACTTCGGTTGTCAACGTTTTCTTGAAAAAATATATAATATTTCTGTCGAATTCTTGAAACATACTTTTCTACTTGTGTTATTTTTCCTTAGGGACAAATCACATCTTGACGCATGTAGAAAAAAAAATCCTTCTTTTTATTAGAGTGTGATTTGTTAGTATAAAGGAACGAAGGAACCAAATATTGTTGTTTTCAATAAGACATTTATGGGAATTTGTTAGACAAAGATGGATCGATCTAGACTAGACTATATCAATTAAATTAGACAATTATTCTTGTCTTGATTGGTATGCTGAGACCTAGAATTGGCTCGGACTAATTTTAATACAGTTCAAACCGAATCACCAAACGAGTGTAAAGAACTAAATAATTCTTTTATATTTATATTTGGGAAAAAAGAAAATGAGAAGAAAAAAATAAACAAAGGGAAGGGTCAAAAGGGAGGATAGAATGTTGAATGTCCTTTCAATTAAAAGTCCAAACTTGGGATTTTGGGAATTGGAATTGGGATTGGGAAACTGTGAGTTTTCGTCAGACTGTACTTTGTTTTCTTCTCCGGAAGAAGAAAGCTGTTTTTGGAACTCTTTTGGGTTTTCGGCTTAATAATAATTTTAATAAATTTTGTGGTTCTGATTTTTCGTGCGTGCCATGTCCATAAGCTTTTGGAGTTGTGGTGGGAGAAACAAGAGGGATTTTTTTTTTTGGTGAGGACAGAGACCTCTGGAAGAGGGAAAAAGGCCCCACGTGTGTGCGTGTATCTCTGCCAAACGGTCAAAGCTAAGGCTTTTTGGGGGTTGTGGTTTCCTCACACTACGGCAGGCGCCAGTCCCGCTGGCACCAAATATTAAATCCCAGACTCGGTCCCGGTTTGGCTTTTGGGCTCATGCCCCCTTTGCCAATTGTCAATTGGAATATTTTTATTTCTTTCTTTTTATACAAGCAATAATCTAAACTCATTCATTCAATATAAGTATATTCTCATTTGTACATTTTTAGAAACATTAATGAGATTACTTAATTAGATAAAAGTTTATATATTTTTTTCTATTTTTATAAGATTATTATGAAAGTTAAGTTATCATGCACTTTTTTTTTATTTTGAGAGAAAAACGAGGTATTTAAATGGCAAGAAAACATTACAAAATATCTTCAATTATTGCATCTTGAAATATATCAGGAGGATTCCCATACCATAAAGACACATTTTCAATCGACAAAGCAAAACAGACTAATCTATGCGTCGCTAAGTTGGCCTCTCTAATCACAAAATTAATAATTGTATCTCTCAAGCCATAAAACAGAATCTTCTTATTTTAATTTCTTTTGTTGTAAAATAATAAGGGAGGTGTGTTGCATTAGTATTTTGGAAGCTCATATTTTGCATACAATGTATGTTTTAGAAAGTGTCCATTGAGATTGTTGTAGGAAATCTTACAAATGAAATTTGATATTGAAGTGAAACTGCCCAATGACCCTTTCGAAAAATAAGTCAACTTTGGAATTGATTTCTTTTGTATGATATGTTCATCCACTCCTAATTTTGTAATAATCATAAAGAAATAAAAACAGAGTTTTCCAAGCCCAGCAAAGTACGAATAAATATCCAATGGGTTCCCACCACAGTGGTGATGGATTCCTCCTCTCCCATGACACACAGGATCGAACCCAGTAAAATTTATTTCCTCCAATATAACCGAAAATAAATTATGACTAGACAACACTGGAAAAAGTTAAACTCTTCCATGCACCAACTATATGACCTAGGTAAAATTAATTGTAATTTATATCAGCAATATGGTTTAATTGTAACTTACTGTACAGGATTTCTTGCCCATTCTTTTCTTTTTGGGTATTGGCATTATTAGTCAAAGCTTTTTGGACCAAAATGTTCAAGAAAAGGGTGTTCAAACTATTCAATCATGTAATTAAGACTAGCTTTCCATTTCAAGCGGAAAGTTGCATATGCCATATTCTTTGGAAGGGGCCAACCCGTCAGAGTCTTCTGGTCCCAAAGCATCAAAGATTTAAGATATACTATATTAACAATAATAATATGCTTACTTTTGGTTTTAGAGATAAGCTAAGCCTAAGCATACAACAAATATCGGCATTTCATGTAAACATAATATTGAGTAGGCGTAAGACCTACTTCATAGTCTAAGACTTTATAGTTTTTACAATAGCATCATGCGGAAATTCAATAAACATAAGTATATATACATACCTTGACTAGCCTTCAGTTAAACCAACGTCGTATTTGTCTTGCGTGATATGAAAAGGAGCCGTTAGTGTAAATGAAATATATGTTTCCTTCTAACCTTTTTCACTTTAGAAACCCTAATATATCTTGTTGTATACATTGAACGGGTATGTGCATTATTATAGGTAGAGAGATACCAGTTTCCTATTGAAGCTTTAGTTTCCTAGTATAGTTCTAAGTAATTAACACACATCAAGGCAATTAAATAAGAAAATACTTTTCTTAATTTGACTAATATGATTATTCAAAATAATATTTATTAAATTCTTATAATACTACATAATTCTCGAAATATACAAGCCATACCATGTGGACCACATAAAATATTATGAAAATATTCTTCCTTACATTTGGTGGTACCAAAAAGAGTGTCGAAATTTGCCTTGCTACAGGACTCTAGAATCCCAAAATACAGGAAGAGCAATTTCTTTAAGGCTGGCAAAGAGGGGGGGCTCACAGACAACATGTTTGGGATTCAACCCTTTTGTAGTGCTTCAAACTTGAAGCTGCATGCAGTCCCCACTTCTCAATGAGTCTCGTGCATAACAAAGCTATTCAATGGGTTCTTGGAGGACCTTTTCATGACGCTACCCGGGACACAATTTGTTTTTGTTTTTGAAGATCCTTCTTTAATTTATACATTTATAAGTGCATGCACTCCTTAATTATGATAAGCTTAAGAAAAATAAAAATCAATAAAATGTAATATGATTTACTGGCTTAAACCTATAGAAGTATTCTTCTAATCGATATAGGATTGCAAAGGATTCATTTACGAAGCCAATTAAGGCCGGCAAGGGTAACTTGACCCTTCTCAAAATTTTGAAAACCCTATATTTATGTATGTTATCCAAGTTGTTTTATAGTTATACTTACTGTTGACCCTTCTCGCAAATGTTAATTGTCTACAATGAATATGATCATCTATATTTGTGTTCATGTCTTCATATGTTATTTATACATGTGTGCCATGGATTTTATTTGATTTTATGATTCTTCCTAAAATCAACTTTTGATACTTTTTCATTACTTTTAGGTTGCTAGAATTTGGGTTATACTTACTTAAAATATTAAATTTGTGATATTGAAATTTAATAATTATACTAAATTCTTAAATACATTTTCCTATAAAAACTAAGTTTATTGTAATTATAAAGCTATTAAAGTTGATCATCCTTAATAGAATTCCTCGCTCCGCCAGTGAAAGGATACATTGTTTATCAAGAACTCCTTATCTCATATGGTAGCCTAATATATAAGTGTTTAAGATAAATATAAAGGTTTGAGATTCCTACTTCTATAAGGATTAAGATTCACTAATCATATCACATGAAGGTTATCTCTAGGAGTTTTTGATGGGCAAGACTCCTTGAGAGATGCATATAAATAGAGGGCTCCCACCTAAACTCGAAATACCTAAACTTTACAGAAATTCACCCCATTTAGAATCACTGCTATAAGGCTCGGCTTCTAGGAGAAGAACTCTCTGGTTTTCCTATTGTGCTATCAACATCATCACCATGTCCGAGTCAGGTTAGTGTTTAATATGGTGTAACTATCTAGATTTACATAAAAATCCCATTTTGAAATTGAAACCCTTTGCATTCTGGTTTTCCTGTTGTGCTATCAATATCGTTGTCCTTAGAAGCATTGCATTTTTCAAACAATAAAATAAAATAGAAGCATAGCATTCTAGGGTTTAAGCACTAGAGGACCTTCATAAGACACCCCAAAAACCAACTACAATTTGTTTAATCAAGAAAGGCCCAAATTGATTATGGAGGTTCAAAGAAACTAAGGCCCATATCCATTTTTTTTGTTCAAAGAAGTAACCATAGGGTAGAAATTATCCATGCTTCAACGATAAACTTGTTTATCTAGTTGAAGCTGAAGGCCAAAGTATAAATCCCAAACCCAGAATTCTTGAGGCAAAAACATAAGATTTGGACCCTGCAAATCAATCAACTCTGGATTGTTCTACGTACACAGGAGAATGGCACTCGAAACTGCTCTTGGCAACCATCTTGTATAGTTTGAAACCAAACAAAACAAGCAATAGATTTCTCCATTTTGTTCAGTCTGTTTGGTGTTTATAATTTAGTTGAAATACGCAAAAACTGTTAGAAAAATATCTTTCTATTTCATGTTAAATAGATATGACCAAAGAGATGCAAAGCTTTTCATTCAAATACGTGAAGAAAGAGAACTCAGATTTTATATATTCACAATCCCACATCGATAAAATAGCGAAAAGTTAAGCACCTAATATACCCAAGTCTTGGTTTGAGAAGTGCCGAGCTCTGTCACGTGAGCTTGTGACCCAATGTGGGGGCATTAAGGATGGTTTGGAAGAGGGGTAGGAGCCTGAGGACAACCTACGGACGGTATGTGCGCGCACATGAGGGGGCACAGTGGGCCCTTGTCGGCGTGCAAATCTGGATGCAAAGGACGCGCGTGGGTAGAAAGAGGTCGCCCTGAAGTGCAGGCCGTTTCGGTTAGGCCAGCCCTGAAGTGCAGCCTAGAGTTTCTTCCTCCCTCCTTGATGAAGAAGGGAGATGTCTTTACAGCTATCTGTAAAAGGCTCGTTGGCTTACCAGAGCAGCGAGGAAACTCTTACTGCAGTACTCCTCCAGATAGTGGACCCTCACTCGCCGACACCCCTCATGTCGCCACCCACCGTGGGCCCCACTCTTCAAACCCTGACGTCCATCTTTTTGTGTGTGCTCTGTTTTTCTACTTAGGTACTGTTGGGTTTGCTGTTTTTATCCTCCCCTGTTTAAAGATTATTTTTTGTTTGGTTTGAAATTTTTAGGATAAATTGTGAGAAAATACACTTGATGTGGGTTTTCCTAATATAAGTTAATAACTAGAGGTTTAATAAAATTGAGTGATGATCTTAAAATGTATTTTTTATTATTGATATGATGAAATGAATTTTTGTTTGGTTTGAACTTAGCTTTTATATGGGGTTTCCTAATATAAGTTAATAATTAGAGGTTTAATAAACCAACATAAATAAATAAATAAACCCCAAATTTCAAAAATTAAGTTACCAAGCAATTGTATCCTTAAGCCGTTAGGTAGGTTATTTATCCATGCCCTTTCAATTTTAGTACACCACATTGGAAATTTATTGCTATATGGTTCGATCATTATCCTGATCGTCGCGAAATCAATTAAGTGATGATATGTCATTCTTAAGGTCCACATTATGTGTAATAAAATATTAACAATTAATTGAGAAAATAATAAAATTGGTGTGATGATCTTATAAAAGGGGTTTTTAGTTATATATAATGGTTTTTCTTTTCTTGGGATTTTTTTTTTAATTTGCTGTAATTTTTAATTTTCCAAATGAATTTTGTTTGGTTTGAACTTTTAAGGATTAATTTGCGAGAGAATTTAAAAACTTGATGTGTGCTTTCTTGATGTGAGATGAGGGCTCTTTTTATTTAAAAATAATTATGTAATGGTTTTATGCTTCTTGTTAAGGTTTCCTACCTAGTTAACTACCTCAATTAAATTTGAGCGAGACAAATGATTAGAGGGCTAAAATTAGAAATCAGGTAAGCGAAAACCCAAGAAGCAAATCACCAGAAGTTGGAGTTGGAAAATCTTTTTTAGTACAATTTTCATCCTTTTACTTATCTAAGCACAGCATAACTCCTCAAGAATTTAATTTTTAATTCTACACATATAGACATTGTGTTGTAGTTTCAATACAACTAAAAGTACCAATACAAGTGTGACATAAAAATACTATCCCCTTTAGATAGGGGTGGAATTGGTTTGGTAAACGAACCGAACTTACGTAATTAGTGACCGACTGACAAGTGCCGAAATGATCTAAAAGGGAGCCGCCACCGCACCACCTGAAATTAGAAATTGTGAAAGCGAAAACCCAAGAAGTAAATTGCCAAATGTTGGAGTTGCAAACTCTCCATGGTTTTCAATTTTTGAGAAGCAACGCATTCTGAAAGAAGTAAAGATGAGTGATTCTCAATTAAAGATGAGAAGATAATCCTATCACATGAAGGTTAATCTCTAGGAGTTTCTTGATGGGCAAGACTCCTAGAGAGATGCATATAAATAGAGGGTTCCCTCCTAAACTTGAAATACCTAAGCTTTACAGAAATTCACCCCATCTAGAATCACTGCTATAAGGCTCGGCTTCTAGGAGAAGAACTATCTGATTTTCCTGTTGTGCTATCAACATCATCACCATGTCCGAATGAGGTTAGTGTTTAATATGTTGTAACTATTTAGATTTACATAAAAATTCCATACTGAAAGTGAAACCTTTTGCATTCTGGTTTTCCTGCTGTGCTATCAATATCACTTGTCCTTAGAACCATTGCATTTTTCGAACAATAAAATAAAATAGAAGCATAGAATTCTAGGGTTTAAGCATTACTAAAAGAGGATCAGCGAGAACCTCCATAAGACACCCCAAAAACCAACTACAATTTGTTTAATCAAGAAAGGCCCAAATTGATTATGGAGGTTCAAAGAAACGAAGGCTCATATCCATGTTTCTTTTATTCAAAGAAGTAACCAAATGGTGGAAGTTGTGGGTGCTTCAACGATAAACTTGTTTATCTAGTCGAAGCTGAAGGCCAAAGTATAAATCCCAAACCCCAGAATTCTTGAGGCAAAAACATAAGATTTGGATTGGTCTACGTACACAGGATCTTCATTGAGAATGGCACTCGAAACTGCTCTTGGCAACCATCTTGTATAGTTTGAAACCAAACAAAACAAGCAATAGATTTCTCCATTTTGTTCAATCTGTTCGGTGTTCATAATTTAGTTGAAATACGCAAAAACTGTTAGAAAAATCATCTTTCTATTTCATGTTTAATAGATATGACCAAAGAGATGGAAAGGTTTTCATTCAAAATACGTGAAGAAAGAGGACTCAGATTTCATATATTCACAATCCCACATCGATAGAATAGCCAACAGTTAAGCACCTAATATACCCAAATATTGGCTTTGGAAGTGCTGAGCTCAGTCACGCGAGCTTGTGACCCATTGTGGGGGCAATAAAGATGGTTTGGAAGGGGGATAGGAGCCTAAGGACAACCTGCGGCACGTGAGCGCACATGAGGGGCACTGTGGGCCCTTGTCGGTGTGCCAATCTGGGTGCAAAGGAGGTAGGAAGAGGAATAGGTCGCCCTGAAGTGCAGGCCGTTTCGGCTAGGCCAGCCCTGAAGTGCAGGCCGTCAAAGAATATTCTTCCGCCTGTGAAGACGGAAGATGTAATTTGCAGCATGCTGTAAAGCTCGTTGGCTTACCAGAGCAGCGAGAAGACACTCTTACTGCATTACTCCCTCCAGAGTGGATCCTCACTAGCCGGCACCCCTCATGTCGCCACCCACCGTGGGCCCCCACTCTTCAAACCCCCGACGTCCATCTTTTTTTGTGTATGTGGTTTTCCTAATATAAGTTAATAATTAGAGGTTTAATAAAATGTAATTTTTTATTGATAGGTTTTTCTTTCTTGGGAATTTTTGAATATGGTGTTTTTTTTTCTCTTTAATTTCTCAATGAATTTTGTTTGGTTTTGAATGGGTTTCCAAATTAGAGGTTTAACAAACGAACTTTTAAAAAAACCCAAATTTCAAAAATTAAGTTACCGAGCAATTGTATTCTTAAGCCTTTAGGTATGTTATTTATCCATGCTCTTTTAATTTTAACAATATAGTACTTGTTTGTACAAATTTCCTCACGAGGATATTCGTCTAAGATTCCTTCGTCTTCTCCACTTCTCTTTCTCCCTGCAAAACAGATCGGGGTAAAAGGACCACACCCGGGGGGTGTTGGCCAAAGGCCCTCCGATGCCTAAGTTAGGTAGGGTATTTCAAGGAAAACCGGGTGGCCGGAGCAGTGTGTGGTGGCCGGAGCCTTGTGTCAGGGAGAGAAAGAAAGTGGTGGCTAGGGTTTGTGAGAAATAATTTCTGCAGAGTTTCAGTAGGAATTTAGACGTACCTTCACCTTTGTGCGTAGCCAAGTATTTATAATGGTCTCGGAGGCTAGGGTTTCAGAGGAATAATTCCGTAGTTGGTAAGGAATTATTCCTCCCTGATTTGGCATTGATTTGATTAATTAGGGATTTGATTTATTTGGGTAAATCAAATCCCTAATCGTGGTAGGTATCAGATCAAATCCCAATCTAATTAGGTAATTCCTCATTTAATTGGGAATTGGGGTAGGAATCAAATCAATTCCCAACTTAATTAGGTAATTCTCAATTTAATTGGGTAACTCCCAATTAAATTGAGTAACTCCCAATTAGGTTGAGTAATTCCCAATTAGGTCAAATAATCCCCAAATGGAAGGAATTATTTGACCTAGGGTTTTGATTTAATTGGTTCCCACAAATGCCCCCCAGCTTCTGCATGGCGCGTGGTGGCATGTAGGAGATGTGAATTGTCTGTTGGGCTTTCCAGCTGTAACTGGACTTCCTTCTTTAATTTGGGCTCCTGCGTGAAGGAGGCTTTTTACTTGCTAATTTCCTGAACACCTGACTGGAAAGTGTTTGAAATTCCTTGTAGGTCAAGGAATTTTGATCCTTATAAATATAGGGCTCCCTCAAACTATTTTCACGTCACAATCTGATCCTCCAATTTCGTCAGTGAGAGAGAAAACTTTAGAAAATTGCTTCAGCTGGCTTTGTCCTCGTCACACACCCAAGGTAATTTGTCTTGGGCAGCATATATATTTTTCCTTTTGTTCTGACTTTTGGCTGCAAGGAGGTGGTCCGTGCCTTGTGATTGGACTGGGTATGATGGGAGGTCTGGAAGGCTGGCAGGATCAGGCCTTGTGCGTGTTGGGCTCGAAGCAGGGGCATGGAGGCGCTGGACCAAGAGCTGGAGCAAGGGGGAATTGGGCCATCGCGCGACATGGGCTTGCGCTAGGCAAGCTGGCCACGTGCTCCAATTTGGGGCGGTCTGGCGCATCACCTGGGCCTCGCATGCGGAGCAGGCCTCGCTGGGCGCTCGAGCTGGGCTGGAGACTCGCGCTGGGCTGGAGACACGAGTTGGGCTGCGCGCGCTGGGCAGTTCATGCTGGGCTGTTTTTTTTTCTGCTGCTTCTGTTTTTTTTTTTTTGTTGTTCACGAGCTAGGAATTTTAACCTGCAATTTCCTTTGTTATTCTTTGCAGCTACTCAACGACCATGTCTTCTGAAAGAAGGAGCCGATCACCAAGCTCGCAAGTACCCTTGTACCTATGGGGTGGCTCTCAAGTTCCCAAAGAGAAGTTTGTGGCCAATCTGCACCGTGTCACCACCGAGGCCCAGTTCAAAACATGGCGTGCCCTTTTCAATTTCGCCATTCCCAAGGACGTACATGTCAAGTTAGCAGAGCCCTCATCCGACAGCGTACCACGGGTGGATTCGAACAATCCAGGTGCCAGGATCATCACGTTCCGCCCCTTCTATTTCTCGCTAGGCTTCACGTTTCCGATGTCGAAATTTTTCAGGGATGTGCTTTGCGCCATGGAGTGTGCCCCGAGCCAGTGTACTCCAAACGTTTATCGAGCGGTCATCTGCTTTGAAAATTTGAGTCACTTCTTCAAGCTAGATTTGACAGTGCAGGAATTCTTCTATTTCTTCGAGGTGAGACGCTTCGAGAAGTATGCCCAACTTCGTGCGCGCAAACCCAAGTTGTTTGATAGTTTAAGTCAAGGCGATCATGTGTGGAGCAAGGATGTGCTGGAGGTCAGTGGCAGATGGGAAGGGGAGGTTGGCGACGGTCCGCTCGTTCCTCTCACCTACTGTGACGGTAAGTTGCATCCCTTTGGTCTGCTCTGTTTGTTGAGGGATTTTTCATGTCGTGTGTCTGACCAACTTTTGTCTTCTGCTTGCAGATGATGCCATCCGAAAGAAGCTCGTCCTCGACCCAGACATGATGAAGGTTCGGCAGGCTTTGAGCATCCCTGCCAAGTTTCGTGAATGGCGCTGGCTGTTGAGCGAACATCGGAAGAAAGTCGGTGGCCTGCCCCCTGCTGAAGATATTGGAAGATGGAAGTTGCACTGCCTGAAGCTAAGTGACTTGCCAGTTGAGCAGGATGAGTCATCGACCGAGTCCCCCGAGGATAGAAAGGCGTGCAGTGGACCTGCCCGTGACGGAGCTGCAGTTTCTCGATCAATGGATACGTCCCTGCAGCGGGGGCAGCCGAGATCTTCTCTTGCCGCGAACAAGTCTTCCTCACAGGAGGCCTCGTCTGCCGGGATCAAACGCCTCGTCAGCGCGAACAGCAGGAAGGCCAACGGCATGCAGGAAGTTCGGGATATGTTGTTCAAGTCGCTAACCGTATTGCCCAAAACTTGTGATCTGCCTTGTAAGGAGGCCGTTGAGAAGCAAGGTTCGGGGCGTCTGCGCCGGTCTGGGGACCAAACTGAGAGGACTGTACCTCTGCCCAGCCACCATGACTCGTCTGCAGGACCACGAACAATCAAGCGCGGAGCTGACTCGATGTTGCAAGCTGCAAGCAAGAAAGCTAAAGAGTCGTCTGCTTGAGCAAAGAGTCCTCCAGTCGCGCGAACTGCTGGTTTGGGGATTGGTGATAACTCTGTTGGGGGTGAGCCTGTGTCTGATCTGCTGAAAACGGGCTTTCTATCAAGTCCATCTGCTTGTGCTAAGCTAGCTGACCATGTGTATCGAGCTGCTGATCTTTGTGCTCGAGCCTTCCCTTGGATAAACAAGAAGAAGCTGGCCTGTATCATCTTCAAAAAGAGATGGTTTTTGCTGTTGGGGCTATGCAGAACTCGCATGATGTTGCCCCCTCTTCTGCCCTGCTTGACGAGCTGGTGAAGAAGAATGCTGACCTTACTGACAAGCTCTCGAACGAGCGGATTCGCCATGACGCGAGGATTTCCGAGATGAAGGAGAGTATGTCCGCACTTAAGAGTTCTGTTGGCCAAAAAGATGACGAAGTCAAGTCTCTTATGGCTACCCTGCTCGAACGCAAGGAAGCCTACTTTAGCCTCGAACGCAAGCATGCTGCTCTGGCCCAAGATCGTGATAGGCTGCTGGTCAAGTTTGACAACCATGTGGAAGCCACGGAGGTGTCCAAACATGAGATTGCTGCTAATGCGTACAAGCTGGGATACCTGGACTGCCAGAACGGCGCTCCTCCTTGCTGTCCTCTCGAAGATGACGATGATGAGCAGTCCAGTCTTGATCTGCCCCTTGCTCACAGTAAGCAGATCAATGTTGTGGATGCAGAGGCAGTTGAAGAGCAGGTAGCAGATGAAGCCGCAACGGAGGAAGACAAGCCCCAAGGCGGGTCAGCTGAGGAGGGTAAGGAACAAGCGGCCAAGGCAGTTGAGTAGGTGGTGATGGTTAAGCAGAGTGAGGCCGTTGCCAGCGCAGCTGAGGATGTGATCGGCTAAGGGTCACCTGCTGAAGTCCCCTAGTAGATGTAGTTCATTTTTGCTATTTTTGAACTTTGTAATTTTCTTTCAATAAGTGGTCTTTGGTTGACCGCCCTATTGTTTGTTGAATTTGGCTGGTTGGCCGCTTTGCTATGAAATTTTCAGTTATCTTTCAAACTTCAATTCTCATTATGTCTTATAAGTGTACGTCCGAAGACATAGCACTTGAAAGAGATTCCATCGAGTTTGTACTCGTGAAGTAGCTTGCCCACAATGAAGGTAAGGCTTGTCGCCTACGAGCGTATGTCAGGGACACAATGCTCGAAATAAAAAGATTCCATTGAGTTTGTGCTTCGTGAAGCAGCCTGTCTGCAATGGAGATGAGGCTTGTCGCCTACAAGCGTATGTCAGGGACACAATGCTCGAAAAAGACTTCATTGAGTTTGTGCTTTGTGAAGCAGCCTGTCTGTAATGGAGATTAGGCTTGTCGCCTACGAGCGTATGTCAGGGACAAAACGCTCGAAAAAGACTCCATTGAGTTTGTGCTTCGTGAAGCAGCCTGTCTGCAATGGAGATGAGGCTTGTCGCCTACGAGCGTATGTCAGGGACACAATGCTCGAAAAAGACTCCATTGAGTTTGTGCTTTGTGAAGCAGCCTGTCTGCAATGGAGATTAGGCTTGTCGCCTGCGAGCGTATGTCAGGGACAAAACGCTCGAAAAAGACTCCATTGAGTTTGTGCTTCGTGAAGCAGCCTGTCTGCAATGGAGATTAGGCTTGTCGCCTGCGAGCGTATGTCAGGGACACAACGCTCGAAAAGGACTCCATTGAGTTTGTGCTTCGTGAAGCAGCCTGTCTGCAATGGAGATGAGGCTTGTTGCCTGCGAGCGTATGTCAGGGACACAATGCTCGAAAAAGACTCCATTGAGTTTGTGTTTCGTGAAGCAGCCTGTCTGCAATGGAGATTAGGCTTGTCGCCTGCGAGCGTATGTCAGGGACAAAATGCTCGAAAAAAGACTCCATTGAGTTTGTGCTTCGTGAAGCAGCCTGTCTGCAATGGAGATTAGGCTTGTCGCCTGCGAGCGTATGTCAGGGACACAATGCTCGAAAAAGACTCCATTGAGTTTGTGCTTCGTGAAGCAGCTTGTCTGCAATGGAGATGAGGCTTGTCGCCTGCGAGCGTATGTCAGGGACAAAATGCTCGAAAAAGATTCCATTGAGTTTGTGCTTCGTGAAGCAGCCTGTCTGCAATGGAGATGGGGCTTGCTGCCGCCATGTGTATGTTCGTAAGACATAATGCTCAGAAAAGTACTTCATTGAAAAGCTTGCTCTTGTATTGATGTTGGTGTGAATACATCGCTTTATTGAATAAAGGAAATTAACAACAAAGGTAACATCAAAAGTAGTTTGTCTTTAATGGAAGTACAGGAGGCTCATCGTGTGCTAGCAGCCAAGTTGGTAAGCGAAGAGTTTCATGGATAGTATCTTCGAAGGTGGTGGGCATTCCATTGTCTTGGAATTTCTTTTCCTTCTAGAGTATCAAGGGTGTAACTTCCTCTGCCCCCAGATCGGCTGATCACGTAGGGGCCTTCCCAGTTTGGCTTCATTTTCTTTGACCCTTGCCTTGGTGCTGTGATGAAAGTTTTTCTAAGCACAAGGTCTCCAGGCTGAAACTGTCTTATCTTAGCCTTCTTATTGTAGTAGGACGTCAACTGCTGCTGGTAGGCGGCAACTCGAACAATAGCCTTTTCTCGTTCTTCTTCAAGCAGATCAAGGTTGACTTTCATCTGCTTGCAGTTTTGGTCAAGGCTGTCCACCTCAATGCTCATGGAAGGGACTGTGATGTGTGGGGGAATAATTGCTTCTGTCCCATAGGCCAGGGAAAATGGTGTCTCTCCGGTCGATCTCCTTTTGGTCGTGCGATAAGCCCATAGGACTCCTGGCAGCTCGTCGACCCATTTTCCTTCTGCGCCTTCCAGTCTTTTCTTTAGGCAATCCAGCATTATCTTGTTGGATGCCTTTGCTTGGCCATTGCCTTGCGGGTATCGGGGTGTTGACAGGTGTTGTTTGATGCCATACTTCGCAAAGAATGCGGTGATCTGCCTGCCCACGAACTGTGTACCATTGTCGGTGACTATCGATTGCGGGCAACCGAATCTGCAAATAATGTTCTTCCAGATGAACCGTTCAACATCGGCCTCCTTGGTAGAAGATAAAGCCTCGGCCTCGATCCATTTGGTGAAGTAATCAGTGGCAACGATCATCATCTCTTTGTTGGCAGGTGCCGTCGGCATAGGTCCCACCAAGTCAATGGCCCACTGCATGAATGGCCATGGACTGTTCTGCGGATGGTATTCCTCAGCGGGCAGGCCAGGGACCGGCTTGTAGCGTTGGCATCGATCACATCTTCGAGCATACTCCGTGGAGTCTTGGCGCATGGTAGGCCAGAAATAGCCTATGCTGAGAGCCTTCTGAGCAAGCGATCTGCCCCCAGCGTGATTTCCACATTCGCCGTCGTGTATCTTGCAAAGAACCTCGAGCGTTTGTGGGTACTTGATGCAAGTGAGATGAGGCCCGTAGTATGATCTGCGGATAAGCATGTCGCCTTTCATGTAGTATCTTGCAGCCTTCTGCTTGATTTTTCTGGCCTCGGACTTGTCCTTGGGCAGGTTTTCATTCACTAGGTAGTCAATAATTGGGTCTTGCCAGCTCGGATCCTCATCGATCTGCATCAGGTCCGGCTGCTCCGCCTCCTCTATGCTAGGCTGGTCAAGGTGCTCGACCGGGATGGAACGTCTGAACTGGGTATCCAGCGCCGATCCTAAGCTTGCTAGTGCATCTGCGTGCGCGTTCTCTGTTCTGGGAACTTGCTGGATGGTGAAGGTGGGAAACGCCTTCAACAACTCTTGAACTTTGTCAAGGTACAAGATCATCCTTGGGTGCTTCGCCATGTATTCTCCTGAGGCTTGACTTGTGATCAGCTGGGAATCTGAGTAGATGGCCAGCTTCTTGATTGATAGCTCCTTTGCCAAGCGCAAGCCAGCGAGCAACGCCTCGTACTCTGCCTCGTTGTTTGAAGCCGGGAAGCCAAGCGTGATAGCTTGCTCTAACAGGGTTCCATCTGGGGTGATGATGACGACGCCTGCTCCAGCTCCTTTCTGGTTCGACGCTCCGTCTACGCGCAACTGCCACATGTCTCTGGGTTGGTCAGGTTCAGTAGAGGTCTTGTCTGCTCTCGAACTTTCCTTCTTTTTGCTGACCAGCTTCTCTTCTTCGGCTGATGGTGTGAATTCTGCAACAAAGTCTGCTAAGGCTTGAGCTTTTATTGCAGTCTTCGGCCGGTAGAGGAGGTCGTATTGGCTTAGCTCTATAGCCCACTTCATGAGTCGCTGAGAAGCATCAGGGCTGTGGAGGATTGATCTCAAAGGAAAGTCGGTCATGACGATGACTCGGTGAGCTTGGTAATAAGGTCGCAGCTTTCTCGCAGAAACCACAAGGGCCAAAATGAGCTTCTCCAATTTCGGGTAACGAGTCTCTGCATCGAGGAGAGCTTTTGACGTGTAGAATATCGGATGTTGGGCCCCAAGTTCTTCTCGAATGAGAGCTGAGCTGACGGCCGAGTTGGACACTGCCAGGTACACGAACAAGTCTTCACCAGGAACTGGCTTTGAGAGCAAGGGAGGTGAAGTAAGGTAGGTCTTTAGATTCTGGAAAGCTACTTCGCACTCTTCGTCCCATTTGTCTTTTTGTCCTTTCTTCAAAGCTTTGAAGAATGGTCTGCACTTGTCGGTAGACTTTGAGAGGAATCTGTTAAGGGCCGCTGCTCTGCCCGTCAGGCTTTGTATCTCCTTCACTGTGGAAGGCGACTTCATCTCGAGAATGGCTTTGATTTGGCGCGGGTGTGCCTCGATACCTCGTTGCGTCACTAAGTACCCTAGGAACCGGCCAGACGATACACCGAACGTGCATTTACTTGGATTCAGCTTCATGCGATATTGGCGGAGTAGGCTGAACGCCTCGGTGAGGTTTTTGAGGTGGTCTGCCGGCTTGGGGGCTTTAACCAGCATATCGTCCACGTACACCTCCATGGTTCTGCCGATCTGCTCCTTGAAAATTTTATTCACGAGCCTTTGGTAGGTTGCTCCAGCGTTCTTCAGCCCAAAGGGCATGACCTTGTAGCAGTAGGTCCCTCTTTCGATGATGAAAGAGGTCTTCGCCTTGTCATCATCGTACATCATAATTTGATTATAGCCGGAGTAAGCATCCATGAAGCTGAGCAGCTGGTTGCCGGAAGTTGAATCCACGAGCTGGTCGATTCTCGGCAGTGGGAAGTTGTCTTTAGGGCATGCTTTGTTGAGGTCGGTGTAATCAACGCATACTCTCCATTTTCCCTTTTCTTGTTTTGCCACCAGAACAACGTTAGCCAACCATTCCGAGTAGGAGACCTCTTCAATGAAACCGGCAGCTAGGAGCTTGTCGATCTCGGCTTCAATGATCGCGACCCGCTCGGGAGCAAAGTTGCGTCTCTTCTGCACCACGGGCTTGCTAGCAGGGTTGACATGGAGCCGATGGCAGATGATATTTGGGTCAATGCCAGGCATGTCAGATGGTGACCACGCGAACATGTCTTTGTTGTTCTGGAGGAAGATGGTCAGCTCCATCTTCTCGTCTGGGCTTAGGCGCGAGCCGATCCGTGCTTTCTTGTCTGGTTGGTGAGGATCGAGGGGTACTAACTCAACTTCTTCCTCAGGCTTCCAACCTTCTTCAAGGGAGCCTTCCGGGCGGATTCCCTCGTCTCGATCCTTCTTGTTCGGATTCTGGCATGAGCCAATCTGCGCCTCTTTGTCTGGCTGGTCAGGATCGGGGGGTACTAACTCAAAGTCATCCTCAGGCTTCCAACCCTTTTCAGGGGAGTCTTCCGGGCGGATTCCCTCGTCTCGATCCTGGTTCCTTAACTGCTATTGTGAGGCAGCAACTTCCTTCCCTTTCGGGTTTGCTTGTCTGCTAAGAGCGCTTCCTGCCTCGTTGGCAGCTTGCATTACTGGTGTGAACTGCAGCTGCTTGCTCTTCTTGAGCCCTTGGGCGGTGCATCTCCTTGCCATGGCTTGGTCACTGTTGATCTGCCCGATTCCGCCCCCAGGGATGGGATAACGGATCTTCTGATGTAGAGCAGATGTGATGGCCTCGATCTTGCTGATCCACGGTCGGCCCAAGATTCCGTTGTAGGGGGAAACCTCGTCGATGACCATGAAGGTCTGCGAGCAGACTACTGGGGGTGAGTGGACATCCAAGTCGATCGTTCCAACAGTGATTGATGTGGCCCCATTGAAGCCGGTGAGCGATCTGGCAAGTTTGCTAATCTTGGGCTCGAACCCCATCTGTTGGATAACAGATAGTTGCAGGATGTTGGCTGCGCTGCCCTCATCTACATGAACTCGCTCGATCACAGCTTGTTCAATTTGGATGCAGATGACTAGGGCGTCATTATGTGGCAGGTCCAGCCCGATCAAGTCCTTCTTCTGGAAGCCAATGATAGGTGTATCCCCAACAGCTGGTACTCCCGTTGTGACTTGGGAGACATAAGTTGCCTGCGCGATCTTTCTCTTGTGGTCAGCCCGGACTCTTGGGAGTCGGCTAGAATGGTGTTGATTCGTATGACCTTTTGGGGAGGTTCCTTGGCAGCTACATCACGATCCTCGATCTGCTGGATAGCCTTCTTTGCAACGAACTCTGTGCAATGGCCTTCTCTGACCAGCTCCTCAAGGTGCCTTTTCCAAGCGTTGCAGTTGTTGGTGTAATGACCGTGCTCCCCGTGGAATGCGCAGTATTTGCTGGCGTCTCTTTTAGAGGGGTCTCCCTTCATGGGTGGTGGTCTCCTCACCCACGGCTTATCCTTCACTTGAGCTAGGATCTGGTGGATTGGGATAGCGAACTCAGTGAAGGTCCCTGTTTCTAAGCTTCCCTCTTGGGGCCGCGATCTGCGCTTATCTCGGGCTTTTTGCTCGAACTTGTTGCTCTTTTGGCTTGCCTGCTTCGTCGGGTGGTCAACTTGCTTTCTAGCTTTCTTTGCGGCGATACGATCATCGTCCCAAAGTGCGTAGCGCTCTGCCGTCGCGAACACTTCTGCCAAAGTTTGACTTGGAGTTATGGCCAGCTCCCGGTATAGCTCGTGCTCGGTTGGCAAACCCTTTTTGAATGCTGAGGATGCAACTTGGTCGTTGCATCCTATGATGTTAGCCTTCTCAGCCTTAAACCGTCTCAGGTAGTCTCGTAGAGACTCGTCTGGCTTCTTGCGCAGGTTGAACAGGTGGTCTGCATGCTTTCTGACCGTCTTGTAGGAGGTGTACTCCTTTGTGAAAATGATGGCGAACTCCATGAAGTTGCCTATTGACGCGGACGGTAGAGTGTGGAACCAATCCTGAGCTGCTCCTCGCAGAGTCATCGCGAACACTTTGCACATCAAGGCGTCGTCTGCCTTGTACAGGATCATGGCGCTCTTGAAGTGCCTCAAATGGCTCTCAGGGTCAGAGTCCCCCTTGAATGGAGTGATGGATGGCGTTGTAAACCGCTTCGGCGGCGGAGCTCGTTCCACCTCGTCAATAAAGGGAGAGCGGTCAACTCGATCAATTTCCTTGCACAGGGCCTCCTCCGTGCTTCCTTTGAGTCGGAGACCTCGGAGTTGGTCATTTACCAGCTTTGCGACATCCTCTGCTCGCAGGGTTGGAGTCTCGAGCCGACGTCTTCGGTGCCTCAAGCGCGACTGGCTAGCTTCTTCCTCGGTTCCCAAGGGTCGATCCCCATGGGTGCTCTGCCCGTGAGGCAGATTAGGAGATTGAGTTTGTGAGGATTCCTCTGCAGCTTGTCGCCGCGTGTTGGTCCTCGAGCGGGCTGGTGGGCGTCGATCGTCACCCTCGCAAGGAAGGTCGTTCAGGTCGGCGTCTTCGGTGTCTCGAGCGTGACTGGCTAACTTCTTCTCCAACTCCCAAGGGTCGATCCCCTTGGTTGCCCTGCCGGGGGGGGCAGGAGAGAAGGTTGAGTTTGGGAGGATCCCTCCACAGCTTGTCGCCGCATGTTGGACCTCGAGCGGGCTGGTGAGCGTTGATCGTCATCCTCTGCTTGCAAGGAAGGTCGTTCAGGTCGACGTCTTCGGTGCCTCGAACGTGATCGGCTAACTTCTTCTCCAGCTCCCAAGGGTCGATCCCCTTGGTTGCCCTGCCGATGGGGCAGGAGAGAAGGTTGAGTTTGGGAGGATCCCTCCACAGCTTGTCGCCGCGACCGCTCACGAACTCGAGCTCCTTGTGGACCTAAGCGAGCACGAACATTGGATTGTGGGCCTAGCCTCTCGAGCACATTGGTCCTGGGTCCTAGCCTCGAACGGCTCAGAGTACGGCTCGCAGCTGTCTGCGTCTCGTCTGCACGATCTCGCTCTCTTCCCTGCCGGTTTGCCCTTGTCTGACTAGCCTGGGACCTCTCGAACTGCTCGCCAGCATGCTCGTGTGCCCTCCTCTCCTCGTCACGGGGGTCCAAGGTTGGGGCCTTGATTCAAGTTGATCTGCCTGAGTAGCTGGCCAATCAGGTTGTTTTGATCATCGACCTTCTGTGTGAGTTGATCAACCCGCGAGTTAAGGTCCACCTGACTGCCCGGGTCAAGTAGAGTGGTGTGCATTGGGCCCAACGGCATGTGGGCTAGGGCTCCATTAGACGCGTACACAGGTGCATATGTCAAGTGTGATCGCAGAGGAGGGAGAGAATGGATCTGCTCCAAGACTGGGACGATGTCAGAGTAGCCATGGGGCTGTGCAGCAAGTCCAGTAGTTAAGTGGTGTGGCTGTTGCTGTGCTCCGACGGCAGGACAGCGAGGCAGAGCAGCTCCGGTAATCGGCGCTGGCGACTGCAAGGCTGTGGAGGTCCCAGGGTCATGTGGCGGCTGTTCTGCAATTCCAGCAGTTGAAGGCGGCTGCAAAGCACTAGAAGACGGCTGCAGGGCGTTGGCAGGCATGATTCCGTGCTGTTGCATGGAGGTTTCCACCACGAAACCATGAGATGGGCCCGTCGTGGTGGCGTTACTCTTCGTACGTCTTGTATCAACCATGGTTGTTTGAAAAAAATGTGTGAAAGATGGATTTGGAGCACGCTTTGAATATATCTCGTGCTCTCAATGAAAGCACCAATTTGTTTGTACAAATTTCCTCACGAGGATATTCGTCTAAGATTCCTTCGTCTTCTCCACTTCTCTTTCTCCCTGCAAAACAGATTGGGGTAAAAGGACCACACCCGGGGGGTGTTGGCCAAAGGCCCTCCGATGCCTAAGTTAGGTAGGGTATTTCAAGGAAAACCGGGTGGCCGGAGCCGTGTGTGGTGGCCGGAGCCTTGTGTCAGGGAGAGAAAGAAAGTGGTGGCTAGGGTTTGTGAGAAATAATTTCTGCAGAGTTTCAGTAGGAATTTAGACGTACCTTCACCTTTGTGCGTAGCCAAGTATTTATAATGGTCTCGGAGGCTAGGGTTTCAGAGGAATAATTCCGTAGTTGGTAAGGAATTATTCCTCCCTGATTTGGCATTGATTTGATTAATTAGGGATTTTATTTATTTGGGTAAATCAAATCCCTAATCGTGGTAGGTATCAGATCAAATCCCAATCTAATTAGGTAATTCCTCATTTAATTGGGAATTGGGGTAGGAATCAAATCAATTCCCAACTTAATTAGGTAATTCTCAATTTAATTGGGTAACTCCCAATTAAATTGAGTAACTCCCAATTAGGTTGAGTAATTCCCAATTAGGTCAAATAATCCCCAAATGGAAGGAATTATTTGACCTAGTGTTTTGATTTAATTGGTTCCCACAGTACTTTATATTGGAAATTTGTTGCTATATGGTTCCGTCATTATCCTGATCATCGCGAAATCAGTTAAGTGATAATATGTCATTTGTGGGGTCCACATTATGTGTAATAAAATATTAACAATTAATTAAAAAATGAATAAAATTGGTGTGATGATCTTATAAAAGGGGTTTTTAGTTATATATATAATGGTTTTTCTTTTATTGGGATTTATTTTTGTTGAATTTACTGCAATTTTTAATTTTCCAAATGGATTTTGTTTGGTTTGAACTTTTAAGGATTAATTGTGAGAGGATTTAAAAACTTGATGTGAGATGATGACTCTTTTTATTTAAAAATATTTATGTAATGGTTTTATGCTTCTTGTTAAGGTTTCCTAGCTAGTTAACTTCCTCAATTAAATTTGAGCAAGACAAATGATCAGAGGGCTAAAATTAGAAATCGAGTAAGTGAAAACCCAAGAAGCAAATCACCAAAAATTGGAGTTGGAAAATCTCTAAGTAAAATGTTCATCCTTTTTACTTATATAAGCACAAGATAACTCCTCAATAATTTAATTTTTAATTCTATGCATACGAGACATTGTGTTGTAGTTTCAATACAACTAAGAGTACCAATACAAGTGTAACATAAAAATACTAACCTCTTTAGATAAGGGTGGAATTAGTTCGTAATCGACCCGAACTTACGTAACTAATAACTGACCGACAAGCAATGATATGGCTTAAAATGGAGTCGCCATCGCACAGCCTAAAATTAGAAATTGTGTAAGCAAAAGCCCAAGAAGTAAATTGCCAAAAGTTGGAGTTGCAAACTCTCCATGGTTTTCGATTTTTGCGAAGCAACGCATTCTAAAATAAATAAAGATGAGTGATTGTCAATTAAAGATAAGAAGAAAATCATGTCGGTTTTGATGTTGAGTTTTGACAAATTTAATCATTATGGTTGAAACAATGTGAGTTTCACCTCAATCTTTATTAAAAAATAAATTGGGCTTCTCTTGCCAAATGACAATTATTACTCCCACATTGGCGAGATATCCTTTCGTCTCACATTTAATATACACAAATGTTGAAAGTTAAATCATTATGCGTAGCAACGTGGGTTTGTGACTCAATGTGAGAGCGATAAAGGTGGACTTGGAAGGGTGTAAAATTGCCACACAACTCGTGGCGTACTTGTGAGTGTATAAGAGGTTTAGTGTACCCTTGTCGGCATGCCGTTCAGGCCCTGAAACAAGTTTCTTTGGGTAAGGAGGGGCTGAAACAAATTTCTCTACTCTCTTTTCTCTAATCCGTTTTATGGTTGTTATATGGGCTAGGGCGGCCTTTCTCTATCTAGATTGGGTCTGGGTGTCCTTAGGAAAGGTCGATTTCAGGTGATCTAGGCCGGAGTTCATTTTGGGCTCTTGAGGGGTGCCCCCCGTGACACATTGGGTACAACATTGCTCACAGTAGCTTAAAAAGAGGACCACAGGCGAGTAGTTATGTAGGATCACAAAATTATGACTTTTATTGACTATATTTAATGCAATTTGATATAGGCCATGGAAATAGAAGTAGATTGATAAATTCACTTCAAAGGGAGGGATGTTAAGTTTCCTATGTCATCAGTGAAGGAACATGTGTGCTATGGAGTTTAGTTAGAATTTTAAATTTGCAATAAAGTTAATTTGATATAATGTTTTGAATTTCTTACCTTTAATAAAATGAAAAGAAATATCACTATTTTTATGTTGTTTTTAAAAGAATATACACTACTCGTCATCTTTACAAAAAATTAGATAAATCGGAAATCGTTTCGACATCCAATTGTATCCTATAAAATCAAAGAACACGGTGCTTCAAAAAAGTACTAAAATTTCAATAACACAATTGAGTGGTCAAATGATATCGGATTCAAGTGATTTTTTGCAGAGATGATTTTTGAAGGATTATCTAGAATGTAGACAGTTTAGATTAGTGAAATACAATACGGAGTGAGCTCTACAAATCTAACAATTGGCCCTTTGTAGAATCTATTGAAGAAACATGAATTATTATATAATGTGTTATAATCATGAAGGAAATCTAACAATTGGCTTTGATTATGTTATAATATATATACTACTCATCATGTAAATATATATATATATTGAGGATCCTTCAAATAATTTTATTTAAGGGACACCCTTTAAGATTCTACAAATATTTTTTTCAATGATCCAAACCCTCTATTTTTTAGGTCCTCATTCATAAGTCATCCTTACAAAAAATTAGAGAAATCAAAAACCATTTTGACATCCAAAATGGTAATATACTATTTATTGTAGTGTACTATTCTAATTGTATGTCACTACAAGAATAATGAGGTCAAAAGCATATATCTAATGAAGGTGGCTTGCATGTTGTCTTAGATAGTTCATCAACACGCATTGATTCAGATGTCAATACTTATTAAGCACTGTTTGTTTTGGAGAATGGATTATTTGAAAATGTTTGATTCATGAGAATTAGAAAGGGTAATTATGAAAACTGACAATGAAAAGTTTTATCAAATATGTTTTCAGTTTTTTTTTCTATAATAAAAAAAAACTGAAAAGAAAATGAAATGGTTATCGAACAAGGCCCCAAAATTAATAACCAAAAAAGTTTTATGCTTTCAATTGAAAAATAAAAACTAAAAATAAAATACCGAAATGGTTATCAAACGGGTCATAATCTTTTTTTTTGGAGCTTTTTTCATACCATCCTATTATTCACAAATTTACAACCAAATCATTTTCTTTTTTCAGACTCAACATAAAAAATAAATAAAGGTAAGCATCAAGTTTCGAAATCATAATCCCTTAACTGCAAAAGACGAAATCATAATCATAATCCCTAAGCCCTATGACAAAGAATTACAAAACAAACCAATAAAATATGTAAAGGTATCTTACTTAGAAGAAGACGAAATAAAATTATTTAGGCTCCTTTTGAAAATCATCACTTTTTTTTAATATTTTTTTATAAAACTAAAAACTGAACAAAAGTTGTTTGATAACTGATTTCAATTTTTAGTTTTATATGAAACAGGGAAATGGAATTTTTTTGGACAAACCCACTTACTCTCTTTACAGGGTAAACAAAAGAACTCTTCTAGTTTTTACCACATGAATATCCTGATTCTGTATATGCTTAATTATTATTTTTTATATTTAAAAAACAAACAAACAAAAAGAAGGGAAAGGAGAGAAAAGGACCAGTAAAGCTTGCACGAGATTTATATTTCCAGCAAATGAGAAGGAAAAAAAAAGGGGGCCAATATAAAGCTAGCATTTCTACTGAATTATATCCAGCAAAACTATGCAGAGAAGAGAACGAAGTCAGAAAAGTATTTGAGAAATACTCATCACCTGTGCAACATGTTCCGGAGAAATAGGCCACAGGAGCAAATGGAGCCCGTACCTTGATCTCTGGACAACAAACCCACTTACTCTTTTTTCAAGTGGAAAAAAAGAAGAAGAAAAAAACTAGCCAGGCCGCCCAATTTTGTCCCACATCGACAAATTATACTTCGGTGGTGCTATTTATATAATCAGTTCCACGAGACTCCATTGCCGAGTCAAGTCACGCTGACTTGTGACCCAAAGTGGGGGCAATAAGGATGGCATGGAAGGGAAGGGTGTGTAACGTCGTCCGCATGAAATCGGTGTCAGACGTCATATGCGAGGCGCAAATTTGGCCAGAGATGCTTTGGGGTTGGGGCGAGATTGTGGGTTCTTAACCCCTGTCGCAGAATGGAGAGTGGGAGAGGTGGCTTTGCAAAATGCCGCTTTGCCTGTAATTAGGTAGAGATCTTCCGAGGCTGACAACGAAGTGGAAAAGATCAAACGTCTTTGTGCAACAAAGAATGCTGGCTTATTAGAGCAGCAGATGGCGCTCCGTTTGTCTGTGCTTGGGTTCCACGTGCCCGGCACCCTCTGTTAGGCTCCAGGCCCACTCTCACCCCACCTCCATCCTTTTGTGCATCTTCTTATTACATATTTTATGGTTTTTGTTTTTGGTTGAATTTACTCTGTTATCTTATTTATTCTATCCATTTTTATTTATTAAATAATTTATTTTATATTTTTCCTTTTTAAAAAATTTATTTTGTTCAACATTATTTTTTTATACATATTTTTTGGTTTTTTGTTTTTCGTTGAATTTACTCTGTAATCTTATTTATTCTATCCATTTTTATTTGTTAAATGGTTTATTTTATCTTTTTCCTTTAAAAAAAAATAT